GTTGATCGACTTATGATATGTCTAATATGGATCGTTATTGCTGTCTTGATAAGCGCAATTTTCTTTTCTCTCATTTTCTGGGCATGCATGCACATGCAAGCTTTGAAACCTTGAATATAATATTATTTTACTTTTTAACACATGCAGGTTGTATACCTGTGAAACACCCTATCACAATTGCATGATTTTACTTCTTAATCCAATATTTATGTACATTGTATACCATTTTAATCATTTACAATAAATAGCACATATTACAAGGGCATATGTAACCAATGTATGGCAGATAGGCCTATATAAACTGGGATCCCTTTGGCATTGTCTGTCTGTCTGTCAGTTTAGGAGGAGTCCCAGTGTCACTTAATTCATCAAAGTCCATTTATATTGCATCATATTTTGTGATATAATGGTTAATTAATTTACACATGCTCTTACATTTTATTTATATAAGAATTTCTCAACCTAAATTTTTGCTGATAAATAACTCAGTATTACTTAAGTTGAATAACTATTTATGGGGAAGTGGATGAAAAAATAGTAAAACTATGCTAAATGTTTGGTTGGTGTGTGACATATATATTAATGTCATGATGTTGCCTAAGAGGAAACAAAAGTAGAAAGCTATATGTTATCTTGTTTTGACAACTAAATGCATGTTTTCTTTTTTTCAGCAGTGATTAAATACACAGTTACTTTATTTCAAAATAAGTTTTAAGGAGTAAGACAATCGAGAATATTTAGATGTAATTTATATGAAAAAGTTAATTGGATTCTTAATAAAGACCTTAATTGTTTGAAATTTTTTCCATTTTAATCTTTAGATTGTACTCATGATTGTACATGTACCATATAAGCAGAATTTTAGCGAGGATTTAATGTGGGATTATTAGCGAGGGTGCTGAGATCGCAAAAAATTAATTGTGTTTTATTTGTAATAGCTTCTTTAGTAATTAAGCATTTTAAAATCGCTAAAATAACATCTAGCAAAAAAATAAAATACCAATTTTTAAGGACAATTCGCTAAAATTGTGTCTCGCTAATATTTCCACGTATACGGTATCCAAAGCAAAGAATGGGTGAATGCGTATGTTTTAAATCATGCCAGTTTACTTCTAACTTAAGAATGGATTGAACAAGAAAATTAATTTGAAGAAAAAAGTCTAAAATAGAGGAAGCTTGTATCAGTGGCAATTACGTAAAAACTTAAAATCAAAATCTATTTATAGGAGAGCTCGGATAAGGAAGGAGAGATGGGACAATCAGGATGATGATTGGCCGTACTACACCACTGCATAAAGGCGCGTGATTGGCCAAACCATCCTTCATTTTAGAGAAGAAAGCATTGGTGGGGGAAAAAAACTTTATAATTATATGTTCAGAAGGATGAAGGATTACAGGAAAAATTGAACAAATTTATTTCTAATGTGTTGGATGTGAACTTCTCATCGAATTGAACTAATTTTATTTTTCTCCCAAGACACCCCACTTTTGGGGGAGATTGTCATTTTTTTTTTAATATTCTGCCTTATCTGTGATAATAGTATTTATTTTTGTTAAATATACTTGAAGATTTGAAACAAATAAAATGTCATTATTTATCTTTTCCCCATAATTTTTAACAAAACGTCAGTGCAGAAATGCAGTTTAGAAATACATCCAATTCTGAAGGTACATATGACCTGTACACATACCAAGAAATATTTTATACAGCCCTATAATGATCATGCTTGCATTACATTTAGCAATGCACAAGATTTCTACTTCAGTACTTGCTAAATCTAGGTATGTTACTTTATAATTCACCCACTTAAGATGTTTCATCTGTCAATGTTTGGTCCAGTTATAGATTGATTGCTGCTACAAAAACTTGAACCTCGTCATTCAACCTACAAAATGTAGGTCAAATCCAGCATCCAGAGCAACTATAAATACAAAACAACTTTTAAATTTAAATCAATTTTTTCAATATATTAGTGTGCAAAATTAATGCAAGTTTAGTCCAGATACATGTAGGTTTTATACTTCACTGGAATGAGCCTGCTCTTAAATTTTAATCTGCCCTTGGTCCTTCATCATAAAATGTAGGTTAAATATTGCTTATCTGTTGATAGATTGGTCAACATTGGGACTAATTATATAGTTACTTTAGAATGAACCTGCTCCAAAATCTTGAATCTGATCACCAAATTGGATACTATAGATCAAATCAAGCATCCAAGGATGTCATGAAGTGTGCATTCTTGGACGCATTTTCCATGCAAACTAGAATAGATTTAAGGGGGGACCTATGTCGTTCTACGTCAAAGCAGCGTTATGTGACGTCACAATAGCGACGTTTGTTTTTTCGCTGACTTTTGCAACTGTGATTATAGGCATAACATTGTTACCATTCAATAACGTACACACTTTACAAAAAGAACTTTTTTTCATCATTTATAACAGTTTTATTTGATTAATGGAGTTTGTTAATATTAGAATTCTCTTCCTATGATTGATAATCCATACCAATTTCAGTTGTGAAGAAATACCTCCATGATATTCTGATATAAAAATGCATAAATTATAAGATAAAATTCAGCAAAGACAGCGGCTTTAATCAGGGAAATATGTTTAATTTTATGATTACCATTAATTGTATTTTCTGGATAAAACTAAAAAAAAAATAAGAAATGTACTTTTACCTATATTTTTTTTATTCATAGTGTATGTAGATTTTATTGTATAAAGTAATTCCTAGGTTCTATTAGGTGTTGGTTGTTGACGGGGAAAGGGGGGGGGGGGCAGAATGAATAGAATGAAGAAGAAAAGAGTTTATCTGTTTAAATTATTTCTTATCAAAACAAAATACTCGTTTTTTGCAAAATAGTTTTATATTCAGATGTTTGTTAGTGCTAACATACCTTTTTTAGTGCAGAAAGGTCAATATTTATGACAGAAGAGTACGAAAATAAAAGAAAACGTCATATTTCTCGTTTATTATATCATAAAGGTATACTTTTTTCTTTGTTAAAATAAAGAGAGGGGTGACTTCTTTCAAAAAATATTATTACAACATTTTCACACAAAGACTTTTTAAGATATTACCTGTTATCATGCATGTCGGAATTGTAAAAAATACGACAAGAAAAACGGGGTGATACTTACATTGTGCTCCTGTATAATTTTTCATGTGAGATGAATTACAATGAATTTGCCTTCACTTTAAAGATACAAGTCATATAAATTAAATCCATGTTGATTTCGATTGTGATTTGACATTTTTGGTTCTTTTTAGCGCATATTTGGAGTAAAACAATAATGTCTGAAGATAATCTATTTTTAGCATTTCACACTGTTTTTGCACGTGCTCCTGTGTAAAAATAAGCACATAAAGGTATTGTTTTTAATACCTAAAAATTAAAAGCAAGTGGTCAGGAAAGAAATGTCAAAGTTTTGAAAATTTCACACAAAGACTTTTCAGACATAGGTCCCCCCTTAACTAGTACTGCTTTTACTACTAAATCTCATAGGTTGGCCTTCTTTTGATGGTTTCATAACATTAATCCTTTGAGAGGGTTGCTCAAGGAATTAAAAAGAAAGAGTATATATATTTTTAATTTTTTTTATTATCTGACACTTAGTGCAGATGTTTTAACAGTGTAACAAGTTTCACAGTTGCACCAAACTCTTGTAGAAAATACCACTATATTGTTACTATGATTACTGGATTTATATAAAAGTGTTAATAAAGGTATTTAACTGTTGCCCTCAAAATCATCTATAGGAGAGTTTTCTTTTAATTCTGAAACTACAAGCCCTCCAGAATGTTTACACAAAAGAGGTATACAAAACAAGTCAGTAAAATACACCATTATAGAAGTACACTTAATTAACCAAATTTTAATCATAACTAAGTGGAAAGCACATCAAGTACACATATTACATGAATTTTTTTTTTCTTCTTGTTAATGGTATTAAAGATAGAAACAAATTAAGATTCATTCCTTTGGTTAGCCAAAGAACTGTGTTCAGCTCAAAAGGTTCCACTGTTGGTAAGAAACATCTGGTCCTGAATTTTCATTTTTCAATGCAATGGAAATGTTTGTAAAAAAAGGTTCACACACCAATGAAAGAATAAAATTCAAAACAAATCATGATACACTAACCTTTTCTGTGCCCTGTAGATCTACATTTACAAAAAAAATTGTGAACAAAAGGAATTGGAAAAATGAGGCTTGTGACTAGAATAAGCGATGAGTCTGTGCAAAATGGCCATATGATGCCCCTAATTACCAAATACACATACCAGAAAGGAAGAGGTATGGTCCTAGATATTTTTTAATGCAGATATTGCATGTAAATCTCAGAAAAAAAATTTACATGGAAAACAGAGAAAAGAGCAAGATTTGACTTTGTTTTTTTAAGAGAAATTTGCGCTCGGCTTGTCTTGACAATGAAAGGGAGAACAGCATCATGATTTATCCCCCTTATCAACAAGTATCCTGCAATATGACGTTATTAGTGTATAAAGTATTTCTAAAGCAACTGCATGGTATTTTTGACAATATCTAGATATGCGATTTACTAAACCTATTTTTTTGTACTATCCATGATTATTATATTATTGTATGGTACTCTACTAGTGATGCAACTTTGACACAAATCAGAACAAATCAATCATTAAATGCCCATATAATTCATGCTTCTCTGATTTTTTTTCTATATCACATCTAAATTAGCACTTAAAAAAATCAAAACATATCATGAACATTGAATATTCACATGTATATACACAAAAAATAAAATTACTGTAGTTTAAGCTCAAAAAATGTCACCACTGTCCTACTAAAAGTACTCAAGTTTAATATAAAGTGAACTCAATTACATATAGCAAAATGATACACAACTTTTTTTCCAAAATAAAAAAACTATTTGTAAATTAAACCCAGCTCCAACATTTGCCATGTAGCCAAAGACTAAATTCTGACAACTACAAATAAGGTCCTGTCTTATTTTTTACCCCTCATTTTTCGATTTACAATACATTCGGCTTTTTAACTTTGATTTTCCTTTAACTTGTGAAGAATCCATCACCTTTGGGAGAAAATGGTTTTGAGAGAATACTGATACACATATAGGTCCAAATGCTGCCAAAGGAATCCCGTTCAAGGTTTTATGAAATAACTATTTACAAATTTTGACAACATGTCCTTTTCTAGCTGTTCTGTCCTGGTTGTGTCCCTTGGCACTTGCAAAATGATGGATGCAAGGTCATGGATACTTTTGATATGGAATGAAGAGCTAAACGGAGACTTCCTTAATTCTTCCACCATCCCCCTCAGAAACGAATCTTTTTCTCCCCCTGCAAAAAAAAAAAATACATTGCTAACTTCCAAACAAGTTTATATCCATTTCAACAACATACATTGGGCAAGAAATTCAAAACTCGAAGAATATCATTTAAAAGGAACTCTTATTTCAATTTTTAAAGGCTCTATTAATGTTAATGGATGCAATCATTTTTTTGGTAAACAATGTGATTATTTTTTTCATATTTATTTCCAACAGACACTGATCTTTGGGGTTAAACATTATGCATGTATATTTATGAGGCATGCCTTTTACAACTTAAAAAATTCACATAAACCATATTTCAAATTCATTTCAACTTTTGAGGTGTCCATTTATTTATGTTTAATATAAAAAAATGAAATCAATAAAACTTTTCTGTAAACAATGATAATAATTTTGTAAACCATTTTCCAGTGTGGCTATTTTGTCACTGACCGATGTGGTGATTTGATACACCCACTGAACAATATGGCAATTTTGTAAACCACTGAACAATGTGGCAATTTTGTAAACCACTGAACAATGTGGCAATTTTGTAAACCACTGAACAATGCGGCAATTTTGTAAACCATTGAACAATGTTGTGCTTTGGTTAACCACTGAACAATGTGGCAATTTTGTAAACCACTGAACAATGTGGCAATTTTGTAAACCACTGAACAATGTTGTGCTTTGGTTAACCACTGAACAATGTGGCAATTTTGTAAACCACTGAACAATGTGGCAATTTTGTAAACCACTGAACAATGTGGCAATTTTGTAAACCACTGAACAATGTTGTGCTTTGGTTAACCACTGAACAATGTGGCAATTTTGTAAACCACTGAACAATGTGGCAATTTTGTAAAACTTTTGTAAACCACTGAACAATGTGGCAATTTTTTTGTAAACCACTGAACAATGTGGCAATTTTGTAAACCACTGAACAATGTGGCAATTTTGTAAACCACTGAACAATGTTGTGCTTTGGTTAACCACTGAACAATGTGGCAATTTTGTAAACCACTGAACAATGTGGCAATTTTGTAAACCACTGAACAATGTGGCAATTTTGTAAACCACTGAACAATGTGGCAATTTTGTAAACCACAATGTGAACAATGTGGCAATTTCCACTGAACAATGTTGTGCTTTGGTTAACCACTGAACAATGTGGCAATTTTGTAAACCACTGAACAATGTGGCAATTTTGTAAACCACTGAACAATGTGGCAATTTTGTAAACCACTGAACAATGTTGTGCTTTGGTTAACCACTGAACAATGTGGCAATTTTGTAAACCATTGAACAATGTTGTGCTTTGGTTAACCACTGAACAATGTGGCAATTTTGTAAACCATTGAACAATGTTGTGCTTTGGTTAACCACTGAACAATGTGGCAATTTTGTAAACCATTGAACAATGTTGTGCTTTGGTTAACCACTGAACAATGTGGCAATTTTGTAAACCACTGAACAATGTTGTGATTTGGTTAACCACTGAACAATGTTGTGCTTTGGTTAACCACTGAACAATGTGGTGCTTTGGTTAACTACTGACCTTTGAGGTAACTCCCTGAAGAGGGCGGTGGTGATGACCCCGTCCCTGTGACACATCTCAGCAAACCGCTCCAGAAGTGTGTAGGCAGAGGGAACATCTAACACAATATCTGGTAAGGCATCATATACTCTCCTAAATCCCTGAAATGTCAAGATAAATTATGATGCAAGAAAAATGAATTTCAAATCTCATAGAGCTAAGAGAGTAGCATGTTTCATGATTTTTCACAAATTACATGGAAGAGTCAAAGCTCATTAATTCATGCAGAATCACTATAAAGAGATTTCAATTCTACCTGAGACATTTGTTCTGGAGTAATGATCACAGAATCACTGAGAGATTTCAATAAGTCACACATTCTATGAGCTGCCCGATCCGATGAATCTTCTAAGACCATCACAGTGGCCTACAACAAGAAATAGTAACTATTATTACATATTAAACTTACACAGAGAAATCAGGACTCTTCAAGGACATTTTTCTTCCTTTAACATATCTTTCATCAGAAATGTGGTATCATGAAGTCTTTATTCATTAAACAATTTTTTTTTATCCAAAAACAGTCCATAATCTATCTAAGACATCAAAATGAATACAATGTACCAAGTAACCCAAGATGTTATTTGATATTTTTCAATAGGCATTACAAATTATTGTTTATTATACTTTGCTTATGTCATGTTGTCATAATGATCAACACCAACACTGATAACATGACTGACAGCTGATGCAATATTACGAGGATCTATAAATAATGCTGACCTCATAAACTAATTCATGGTGAAAATGTGGGACTTCTAATTCTGTCAAACACCTGGTGGCTTCTGCAATGTCACCTGATGACAGGTATTCCTTCAATAGCAATACCATCTGAAATGATAGGAAAATAGGAAGACACTCAACATGAAAAAGACAACAGACTTCTATTTCAGCAATTACATTTAACATGACAATTTGACAGGAGAAAGTTTAAATTTTTGAAAGCTTTTATTGTATTCATTTTTTCTTTACCAAGCACATGTTGAAATTCATTTATTAATTTTTTTAATTCATCAAGAAAACAAAGTAGTTCACTGATTTACGTGGGAATTATGTTATTTCTTGGGATTCAGTATTAATGGGTAAGCAAAACTCTGTAAGTTCCCAGTGACGTAAATTTCATGAGTCACTTGTATAGTCAGAATATTCAATGAATAAATATGTTGAACAGAGAATTGTTTATGAGGATTAATAAAATTCTTGGATCAGGACGAGCACTGAAACTCACTTGTTTGACAAGGTATTTAACAGGTCTAATTCCCCCTCCTGTGCCCCAGATGTTGTCCAATCGGACGATGCCGTGCTTTCTGCTGAGGAGGAGCTCCGCTTTGTCTAAGGCGGCCTGTTTATGCTCATCATCCACGTTACCTTTATACGTCATCACAAACTTCGGAGCAATACAGTCATCCGCTATTGCTCGGGCAATAAACTGACCAATCACCTGAATTACAAAGATAAAACAGCTAACTGAATTGAGTTATTCATGTAAATACATGTATCTTGAAACGTAAATATTTTATAAAGGGCTTCATAATTTAATTTTGGGCATCCCTTCATAACTTGCCACAAGAGATGTCTTCTAAAACAGATTGAAACACCATTACAATCAGTATTCAAACACATCCTTCATTTCAAACTTAATTTTCACTAAGAAAAATATATAACAAATCTCTAGTTTCAGTTATAACCTAGTTTTACAATTTAATATAGGATCTTTTACTTACAGCCGGTGCCTCTGGGGTATCAATGGTCAGCTCCGCCAGGTTATTTAGGATCGAATCGAATCCCGAACTAACGTCGTTGGAAGACAGAATTTTGCCGTATAAATCGGAGATCAGAACAGACGTCATTTCTCGGTGAGCTGCCTTGTGGTCCAGAGCTTTACTGATAGCGATCTCCAGAATCTGGGACTTCTCAGCGTTTACATCCATTTCATTGATTGTTCTCTACAAATAGCACACATACAAGTGTCTTAATTTCAAAATCAACCTTTAAAATCAATTTTTAACAAAAGTACTCAAAGAGGCTCTTTTCAATGAATGTCATTTGTAATGTATGTTTATTAAGCTTCTGAGACCAATAAATATATGCAAATGTCAATCGCAACGTACATCTTGTAAAAGGAAGATGGTTAGTTTCCCTAAATTCATCTCCCAAACTAAGTTTGTTCATGACAATAAATAGTTATTGTTTTAGGTTTAAAAAATTGTTCCAATATAAGTCAATACTAATAAAAGTCAAACATTTCCAATGGTTTATTAAGTGGTCTTTAAAAATATTGATGTTTTACTGCGGAGTGAGATGCTAGACCATGTCGATAAGATACGGAACAGCTTATGCCACACTATGGGTGATATCAGCTTATTCTCATTTGTATGTGTCAGTGTTCGATATACATGCAAGTAAAAATAAATAAATAAAAGGTATAACAAAATATTTATTTACCCGACTGTTCTCGGGCAAAACTATTTTGTCGACCCCTCGGACAAAAATAATTTTTGGTTCCTGGGTCAGACAAAACGCATGTTGTCCTCGAACCCATTCAATAATCATTTAACATTCAATTAACCTAAAAGTCCACTTGTTAACAAAAAATATCAAATCTGTCCATTTCCAAAAGGATACTTACAATCACTTCCTCCGTGTTTCCGTTGTCGTAATATTCCAGTAAGACAGGTTCTAAGATCTTGTTTAATTCTTCTATAGAAATTTTAGGTTTTATCATATCTACAACATATTCATCCTGTAAAAGATAGAAACAGGGCTCGAGCTGTGATTCGCCATTGTCGCCAATTGCGAATTTTTTTCAAAAGTGGCGAAAAGAAATTCATAAGTGGCGAAAATGATTTTTTTTATGTACCATGTACAAAATTTGAGTAGTCCTGGTTAGCTCCTTTGTTTATTCAATGTACACAGATAAGTCCCTATGTTTATTTAATGCAGCAGAGGTGTGAAAACTGAAACCTACATGTAGGAAATCACGTCTCGCTTGAACGAACACAGCTGACTAGGTAACTGGCCTGGAGCAATAAAGGGTTACAAAATTGCTTGAAACAATATAATTTGGATTAAACAAGAGGGTATAAAGTGTTATTAGGATATGAAGTTAGAAAATAAAATATTTTTATCAACAAAATCTGGATCTATGTAGATCGTTTTTTTTAAACCGAAAGTAGGGAAATATGACGAAAATTGTAAAAAATGGCTTCAAATTTTACCTAATTAAAATTGAAAAATGTGTACATTAATATACCATAAACTGACAAAGAGTGAAAAAGAAATTGGTTTGGAAACAGAATTATCTTTAATTAGTAAATTACACTGAATTATTTACAATAACATGAGCTTGCATATTAAACCCTGGAGTCTCCAAGTTGTTAAAATAAAGTCAACTTTCAAACCTAATTTTCATTACTTTTAATTACTTTTTTTCACAATTGATCAATGAAATTATGAAAATTTCCATTTTTAAAAAAAATGTCATATTTTTACTAGGTCTTTGCCCCCCCCCCCCCTTCACAGGCGAAAAAAAAAATAAACAAGAGGACATTTTCTGTCAAGAGTTGACTGATATGAATTCAATATCAAATTTGTTGTATAATTCCAACATATTTTTTTTTTAAATGGATACTACCATAATTAAGGCTTTAAACATTACAAATTTAAATCACGTCTGTGTCAGATAAACATAATTTAAAAAAATGACTAACATAAAGTGCATTGCATTGTCGAGAAATCAGATGTAAGTATGCCTTTCCTTTTGTCGCGAAAAGTGGCGAAAAATATTTTCGGTCCAGTGGGAGCCCTGGATAGAAAGATAAATTAATTTTGTTCACCTCAACATTTTCCAAGCAGCTTTTAGTTTAAGATGTAATAACAACAAAGTCATGTGAAATCAATAATTTTCATGGGGTTTAATTTTTGTGGTGTTACCGAGAGACCCAAAAATTTGTGTCCACCATGAAGTGTAAAATTTCATATACTGCATAAAACACTTCCACGACCATGAAATCAAATCCCCCCTGAACATATTTTCTTGAAACCTACCGAAATCTAACCCCACAAAATTATGAAATTGAAGTTATCAATGACCTCAATAATTTGGATACTTCAAAACCTTGGATTCTATTCTGTTGACAATTTTATGATTATCCCAGGTAATCCCCCTCCCTTAAGGGAAAATGTACTGGAGATTCCTAATTTTTCGCGAGTACTAATAATCGCGAATGGGCTCTTCAACGACAAAATGTGAAAATAATAATTCGGGAATGGACGGTTGGTCAAGAGATTTTACATAGATTTCAGCACCATAAAAATAAAGGCGAGTAATTTTATTTCGTGTGTGGTGCTTCTTGCGAAATTACGGGATAATTAATTCCAAGCGTATATTTAGGAATTTACAGTATTCAACAGCAGCTGCTTTGAAATACATTCCAGGGCTCTCACACCACTTTTTGGGACTGGGGCCATTCAAATTGGGAAAATTATCGTCATTTTTGGGAAAAGTTGGATAAACAACATTCATTAAAAAAAATCCTCAAATTTTGCTTTTCTAGCATTTTGTCATCAATTTAACCCTTGTTTTGAATAAACAGTTAAACATAACAAACATGGGTACGTAGTCTATTTATGAAAGTACATTTAGCTTAGTCATATCCATCTTTGAGTGTTAATATTATGGTTATCTGTCTCACTGAGTGACAGTCGCTAGTCACATTGTCCCGAATTTCCTTGCACCACATGGACAACTTTGCTCACCAATACAGCGCGAGACAGAACATGCCGAAGCGTGGGTATGTTTCTAGGTGCAGCGTACTAATGTTTAAATGAAATGTCTATTTTTGAATCCAAAATGAGGTTTTTTGTCGAAACTACATAACAAGATACTCTGCACTGATAGATAGTACACATTTTTGTAAAAATAATAACCTGGTTCCCCAAACCAGTTTACGAATGCAATTGGGGCGAACTAATAAAACAATCGTACAGTTTCACTTTCATTTGCAACTGTGTTTTTTTTTTTTTCTGCGATTAAGTTTCATGGACTTTTATTTTTTAATTAATGTTTTGCTATAGGAATTGGGAAATTTACACCTTTCTTTTGGGAAAAAAGAAACCTTTTTTGCATTGGGAACTGGGCCGAATATCGGCCTCAGATTTAGAGAATCGTGAGCCCTGCATTCTAAATAACGAATCAAGCAAATGAAACTGGGTACCATGACACATCATGACACAAACAAGTTGATCACTAATCAGCTGATTTATATAACCTCCACTGTCCACAAAGATTGTTTTTAACAGATAAGGTTTAAATCAATATTTTTTTCTCTCATTTGATTTAAAAAAAATTGATATGGACCTATAGAATCTATTTCCTAGAAGAAACATTTTTATTATTTCTTTTTTTTTCAAATCTGGGATCAATGTTAACCCTCCTTATGACTATTTCTAGATTCATTAAGCATATATATATCATGATACACTAATCAATTTCTATAGACACACATGCATATTTCATCAGCATGGGTTGTTATATGTTACCTGTTATACACCTACACTCAATTACCAGGTGAGGGGATTACACAATGACTTACTGTCCAGAGAAATGGATTAGAGATATGTTACTATGACTGACTCCCAGCAAATTTCAAATAGATCTAAACATTCATTAACTCAAATCAACAACTACTTGATTAATGCTTCAGAAATCACACTAGGGAATCTTAATGTTTTCTTGTAGCATAAGCATTTTAAGTAATTAAAAAGAGACAAAGCAAAAGATGTTTTTGCTAATTCAGCTTAAGATCTTCTCTCTCTCTCTCTCTCTCCCTACCTCTTTTCTATGCAGTGCACATTACCTGTGGGCTAATGTTATGGAGAAGAACTAGCGGGGAAAATAAATCATAAGCGGTGATAAGATAAACTGTCTATCAGGGCTCGACATTAACACTTGTCCGCTTGTCCGGTACCAATGAAAAATAAATTCGGACAAGTGAATATTGCTTGGCACTTGTCCGATTGGACAAGTGCATTTTAATGTAAAGGGGTCTCTAAATAATAAAAAGAACGACTGATGAATCTCAAGACGGAAGCTGTACATAAAATCCTAACGTCGATCCCGATATGTATCGCTATATTAATATTGTGTTCACATTCGATCGGGATCGAAGTTCACTAATTGCATACTAAAATGAAAAGTCATGGAAGATACGAACCGAAGTGTGAATATTGTTTGATGTTGACAGGTTCACTTGTGGACATTTACGTTATTGTCAGGACAGCAAGCCTAAATTAAATTTCGTTTTATGTGTCTGTTGCACCGGTATTTATCAATAACATCAAGAATCAATCAAGCGCATGACATGTGTAAATAAAATGGACTTAATTTTAATTTTCAAGTTGAAACTATTGAACTTTATTGAAAATTTTCGGACAAGTGAAGTTGACATTCGGACAAGTAAATGTCTTGGTCACTTGTCCGAATGGACAAGTAGGAAAAACAGTTAATGTCGAGCCCTGTCTATACAGAGCAGTATGATACTGGTGCTACCATTGAACAATCAACATACAAAAACTGTACAATTTTTTTCATTTAAAGAATAACAGCATCTATTTTTAAAAGAAAAATAAGTTTAGTGCTATCATAACTTACCTTTTAGTTTTAATATTGCAATTGATTGAATTTGTTGAGTAAGAGGAATGATAGCAAATTCTTATTCTATTTACTGCAGGTTTCTTCTTCAGTTTTTAGTGTTTAAAGAGTCAGCAAAATTCATTCATGGCCTTCTCACTTGAAACTTTTTATAACTCTTCCTTTTCAAAGTGTTTGTGTACACATAATAAATGCATTACAGAACAGTAAAATAAACAATGTACCATATTACACATAATAAAAATGCATTTCAGAACAGAATAAACAATGTACCTCGCTTTCAGAGTCGTAATTTGGATCCTTCACGTCTCTACAATGCCCGTCCTCAAACAGTTCGTCTCCCGGGGCTCCCCAGGTGCCTTTGCCCCCGGCCCCTCCTGTGCAAAGAAGCAGATTTGTTTAAATTTGTTTTATTATTTACTTTTTCTCTTTGTAGAGTGTTCCTTTTCATTTTTTTTCTAAGTATAATTAACACTGTCTATAAAAATCATGCATATTTCACTTATTTGGATAAACAAAATATCTTTTCTCTCTTGTTTGTTTTTGACCCTATATAAATATTTAATATTTACTATGTGCATTTTAGCAATAAATGCTTCATGGTGGTCAAAATAACAAAGAAAACATATTTATAAATTGCAAAATGTCCAGTTGAAATGCCTTTTTTGACAGCTCAAAGTTTTCCTATAAATATAATCTGGCCACTACATAAACAGATTTCATGTAGCCTTATTCCAAAGACCTTCACCTTCAAATACAGCTCACAACGCAATATTGACACCTTTCCGTGTTGTTTTCCTTTAGCATTTACGATCATTACTAAATCTATACCACACATACAAACTGTTAAAGTTTTTCAATGTAATCTTAGACTTAACTTGAATATAGAAGTCAATGCATTAAAAGTGTTTGTCCCTGGATATATATTTTTTGTGTTTGTAAACAAGTGGAGCAATGGCCGACTAATACCACGTGGTATGCAGCTAAAAAACAAAAACAAAACGCAATTTCTTTTCCTGCAGCTTTGAAGAACTTTAGTTCTTGAAAGCAATTAGTTTGATATTTGAATTTAAAGAAAATAAGTTGCAACAAACAAACCTTTCTTTGGCAAGCCGCGACCCTTGCCGTCCCTCGATTTGCGACTATTCTTTCTTATTGCTTGGGGACCCGACATATTTTTCTCCGTTGCATGATTTGAATTCGATGACTCCGACCCAGAGCTGGAGCGATGAACGCGTTTGACTTTCCTTGCATTTTTCATCGCTTGTTCCGAGTTGTCAACTTCTTCTTCAAACTCCACATCTTCTTCAATTGGCCCATTCTTTTGCACGGGCACCATATCGCCATTTTGGAATTGTGCTTGCACAGCCATTTTCACTTCGAATTTTTACGTGTGACAGCACTAAAGGTGGCGAATATGATATCAAAACGGCTTTCCTATGTATGCCTCAGATCATGCAATACAGCAAAGCTGCAGACAATAAGTGAACACTAGAAAAATAAGTCTCAAATACAACGCTCTGTATGCTCCCGCGACTGACAATTGTTTTCCTGAATTTTGTTATGGCAGGTCACGTGATAACATAAACTTGTCATGAATTGGATAATTCGGGTCATGTGACCTGGACAAGCTCTGTTTACAATATCAGCTGATATATTGCGTTGTAAAGGACTTCAAAGGTGTGTGCATATTGCACGGAAGTTTTCTTTTCTTTCAGGATTGGAAGTCTCAAAGGCGGACTTAGATTTTTTTTGTCTTTAAAAGGAAAACTTTTTAAAAACCTCAAAACAAAACAGACAAGTAACAATATTTGAGACACACAATTTATAGTCACTTCTTGGCAGTAGTGGTTTTACTTTTTTAATGTATTTTTTCCCCCAATTTCTTATTTTTTTTTAATTCGTTCAATTTAAAATTTAGTTAAATATATTTTAAAAAAACTTCAAATTTTCTTAAATGTATGAGAAATCTATATTTGGGAGAACAGGAGTCCATTATATAATTACATGTACCCATCCCCATTTCTTCCAGATGCTGCTTCCCAGGTTGATCTTCCTTTATATATGAGTATATACATGTTCTAAGAAACGTATTTACATTGGCTGTCCTTCCCAATGAAACGAGTTTGCGTATTTATACACACATACGCAATCCTTATTCACTCCAAAGTGTGAAACGACTGTTTAGATAATAGGGAAAGCTTTGGGAGGTATACCGGTATAAAACTATGGCTGGTTCTAAAAAAATGAAATGAACGATGGCGTACAAAGTACAGTTATACTAGTACATGTTGGCAACCCCGAAAATGTTATTGAAATTGAAATCTGTATCTCCTTTGTAAATCAACAAATGATGTTCGGATTTTTGCTGATCAGTTGAATAGCCTTAATTAGGAATTGTAAACATGAAAATTGGTTTTAAAAAAATCAAAATTGAACATGTGTCCGTGCTGCTTATTACAGGGCACAGTTGGTACACATGGGAATTCCTATAGATTGTTGGCAGACCTGGTCTCTAAAAAACCCATAGATCGTTAATCATGCAGAAACTCTTGATAGCAATGTTTTAATATCAACTTCAGAGTGTGTAAATCAGAAATTAACCAATGACAAGATACATGTACATGTAAGTATACTTACGAGTTCCATCTAAATTTAAAATCATTTATTTGTCAATTATGTCGGGGACCTTTATACTTAGTATATAATAGGTCCTTTGTGATGCCATTATCTTGGAAAATGATTGTACGGGTAAATAGAGTTGAAAAGTAGCAAGTTTTTTTAAACACATATTTATGCTATCTATTTTGGTAAAATTTTTGAGATTTCAAATTTTCAAAAGTTCCTTGGAATTTTTTAGTACCCAGATCTGATTTACACCACTTCTCAAATAATTTTTGCACAATTAATCCCTAATAATTCCTGGTTTCTTCCATGTACATGTATAGGCGTCGGAAGCAAACTGGAAAGGGGGGTTCTGACGCCTATATGCTGCAGGTACTTGGGTCTTGGTTTATAAATATGTTTGTACCTTTACTACCTTATTGATACGTAAAAAGTACTTTTTACATATTAATGTACATGTAGTAAAGGTACCACAAACATATTTATAAATCAAGACGCTGACCCAAGTCCGTGGAATAACAAGCTGTCGTTTCATATACGTATCCGGAAAAATATGTGCTTCCCAAGTAAACTTTAAATTTAGTGATATATTTTTGATATCCTGTTATCATTTGAACTAGAGCCGAAAAACAAGGAATTAAAAGATTTAGAATCGGGTAATTAATAATATTTATACTTGTTCAACATAATAACTTTAATTCTTAAAAAAAAATATAGACCTAAGTATCATCCACTAGAATATTTAATGGGAAATATCACAAATGCAAATTTCCAAAAAAAAAAACACCTAAACCTTGAACAGTTTTAAATGTTAACAAATGATGTTTATACTCAAGTATCTGGTAGTAGTGCTTAAAAGCTGCATTATTTAACCATACGGTTTTCTCAGGTAAGGATAAAAGCTTAGCTTAAAGCTGAACACGATTCGTAAAACTAAGAGGAATGTTTCCGCCTTTTTTGTTTGGATTCTCGCTATGTCTCAGTCTGAGGACCTCTATATAAAGGACCTGACTTAGACACTGTTTACTGTAATCAGTTGAACACTAGGGCAGCTACAAAAATAACTGTAATACTTAATCTAATGCAGGAAATTAATATTAACTTATCATTATAATTATACATGTCAGTGCAGTTTCCAAACAGAGATACACATTACTGCAATAAAATGTAAACAAACTTAATGCAAGATGTAATGGTTTGGGCCGTGGATATCGGCCTGGATAGCTCAGTCAATAGAGCACCTGACTAGTGATGCAGGGGTCCCAGGTTCAATTCCTGGTCCAGCCATACATTTCTCATTTCCTGTTACACAAGATAACCAGTATGAACACGGGTCACCATTCCATGCCGATACCCATGACAATATAGCAGTCAGGTGGGACGAATGTGAAGAGTATACCCAGGTGTTGATGTATTGTAGATAATAGTGTAGAAAAAAGCATATGTCTATTTTCAAGTTGTGTTCAGCTTTAATGTATGTGGTTCCCTAACCTAGGGAGCTGATAAATACAAAATGATAATGAAACATAAGTGGAACAGTTGTTTATAAAACAGATTGGCTCTTGTTTGAAATGGTTTATGCTTTTAAAAACTTAATTTAGAATTTCAAGGGTTTCATTTTTGATTGGCATAAAGCTTTTTTGCTAATTGCATGCTTACCTAGATGAAGAGAAATGTTACGTAATGAGCAAGATAGCATAAATAGATAGGTGTATAATATTGCATTAATTATAATAGTCTGATTAAAATATGCTGTTTTTGATTTTTAAGAAAAAGAAATGGAACAGGATATAATAACAATGACCTGTACTGTGGAGAACTCGGGGGATGGCTGTATAACTGACCCAATTAACACCCTCAGTCCGTTAGGAGATACAGACAAAAACGATGTGATGCAGACCTCCCAGACTGCTTATCTTATAACAGACACCAATGGCATTGTTCTACTAGAAACACAGAGAGGGTAAGTCTGTATCCTACCCATGTTTTTTTCCCACTTCCCTCCATTTAACTTATGTTACAAGCAACATTTTAATAAAATATGTCTGACAAAACTCTGCTTAATTTTATTCAGCCACAAGATGAACATGTTCAAACTGGGATATCAGTTCACATGAAATAGATATTAAGCAACTTTTATACTTGAGGGAAAATATTAGATAAATGTAGGAATACCAAGCGAAACTTGTACAGTAGCTTAACAGGACTAGGACTTGCCATACTCCAATATTTGTCTTTTTTTTCATTTATAACTTAATTTTATAGTATTGATAATTTTTAATTCATCCTCAGGAGTTTAAAAAATGTGCCCTTTAAAGCAGTATGAGCTGTATCTTTGAGAATTTTATTTTGCTGGTAAAATGTGCTATTATGATTAATTTGTATGTAATTTAAACACTTATGACCAATAAGCCCAAAATAAAGTTTTAAAATGTTCAGAAGAAATATTTCTGCAGAACCGAATATACAGTTTTATATAAGAAATCATTATTGTACAGGACGACAATTATTCTATTTTGCATCAATCAAAGCTAATTAAAAATTTTCCATCGCAAATATGAACATCAGAAGTTTATAAATGATTTATTTTTCTGTCATTAAATTAGTTTATTACAAAATTGCAATAATTTTTTCCGATGTCAAACATGCAGCTCATATTGCTTTAAGGATAAATTTCCCCCATTTTTCAGCAACATGTTCCTGTCAGTTTCCAATGAGATGAGTAATCTGAACTACACAGGGATTTCTACCAGTCCTGAGCTACAAGGGAGACAACTCCTTACAACTCCAGCAACAGGTGTTTTTGGCCTTCGTGATTATATACCTGTACTTCATTTTAAAAGTTTACACCTTTATTCATTCATCTGAATACCAAATATATTACAGTACTAAAAACCAACTTTTATTTGCATATTGTAAAAATATCTGAGTGTTTCACAACTTTCTTTAAACTCATCAATTGTTGCAAGTCAGTTGTTTTAATGAGAATTCTCGTAGAGTGTTTCCTTATTTGAAAAATTAAAAGGAGTTGATGGGATTCAAACTTACCAATCACAATTTAATAGGTGATTTACTGGAAATACAAAATTTCAAGTAGTCTTTAAACTTTTGAATGAAAAATTAATAAATTTTAAAGGAACAGAATCAATTACGATCAAAATCAAAGGAGGATAAAAACATTCCCCAAAACTATGCTCTTTAATATAAAACAATTATCATGCCATATCTGTACACTGTTCATATTGAGATGTTGCATTCCTTTACATAGGATCACTGCTGACGGGGGTCTCACAGGAGGGGATGGTGGACCCCCAGGGGGTGGGGGTGTTACTGGGGGTACAGACAGATGTGGGGGAGGCACTGGACAGCACCGACATCTCAGACACGGCCACAGAACAACTACTGGACACCACTGACCACATCTCAGTGTCTCCAACAGACAAACAGACAGATAAGGTGAGAAATACATCGTATATATGACTTCGTTATATCAGTGGATTCGCAATATCTGTGTTTTTACTAAACGAGTTTTACTGTAATTATCAGACATTTCCTTCTTCTTCTTCTTTTTTTTCTTTTTTTTTTTTTTATAAAATACTGTCCTAGAAAGGGAAAAATTTGACCTAATAATGATTTGGCACTTTGTTTAATTATATGACAGCTTCAAAGTGCTCTTAATTATGATTGGAATCATTTTCTTTAGATGTTTATTGTATGTCTATGAAGTAAAAACCACTCTTTCTATTCTCTTTGATGTACATGTGATTATTTTGCAGTCATTTAAAATACTCATGTATTTATTTGGTAGCCACCTGAACAGAAGAAAAGAGGAGGGTGGCCGAAAGGAAAGAGACGTAAAAATGTCCCAAATGTCAATGCTCCAAAGGCACCACTTACAGGGTTTGTATTTGTGTTGTCAATTTTATACAGATGATGGAATGCTACAAAGAAATATTATTTTCTTGTTTTCTTTTTGTTGATTTTTCTTTATTTATAATTTTTACAAGTGGTTAATCATTGTGGCTTAGCAATTGTGCACATAAACCAGTACACTAATAAAAATACAAAATAACTAAATGGGTTTCTAGCTTGTATTGACATTGATGGACTCCTTTTGTAGGTATGTTATGTATGCCATTGAGAGAAGACAAGAGATTAAAGAAAGCAATCCAGAGTTATCTTTTCCTGAAGTCACAAAAATTCTAGGAAATGAGTGGTCCACATTAGAAAGTGAAAAGAAACAGGTACTAAGTGATTTCACTCTTACTCAAGAGCCCAAATTCATTAACTGTTTTATAGATACTGGTATATCAGAAATATCTGTGATCGATGTTTGTAAATGTTTGCACTTTATGGACGTACAATGCACTGCTTCTATAAAGGAAAAATAACTGCATATTCAGCTGAATTTCGGTATCAAGAAAATGAGATCTCAAAAGTCATTCGTAAGACTTTGTTGTAGTAACTACTTATTCTTGAAGCATTTTCTATTCCAGGTAACTTGAATCTCTGGATTTACAAAAATTGACTAGGTTTTTGGCTTTTTTGGCATGTCAGCATTTAATATTTAATATTTCCTTTTTTTAATCATAGAAATACCTACTGGCAGCACAGGAAGATAAGAAGCGATACATGGAACAGTTAAAAGACTTCCAGCAATCAGACGCTTACCAGAACGCCATAAAGAAAAAGAAAGGAAAAGGGTTCCCTTCAGGTAAGGCACTGCATATCACATGCATGTCTTAAGATAAATATCTTTAGATACATACATATTATGCATTCCTTATTCTCTATTTGTAAGGAGCATTTATTCTCCAAATAAAAATTTTCTTCTGGTAACAAAGATTACTTATTGTTCCTCAGTAAAAGGTTTCCTTTTGGTAAGGAGGATCACATATTGTTCCTTATTGAAAAGGGAGGGTCACTCAGTCCTGTAAAGGTTTTATTCTGGTGAGAAGGATTTCCTATTGTTCTTCTTCAGAAAGAAAGAAAAAGTGTTTGTGTTATTCATCCTTAAAGCTGATTTTTTTTTTCAATATAAAATGTAAAAAGTCTTCTGATTAAAACTACAGTTTTCTTGAGGCAAGATATATTATACGAAAGTAAATTATGCATAAATAGTATGAACTTGTACATGTAAAGCTTCAATACAGCCCTGTGATCCTGTGCCTTCTACTGCGCCCCTCCATTATGAAATTCCTGGATCCGCAACTGACATGCATATGTATTTAAAAGATATCCCTTCATTTTATTTATATTTTCTAACTTGTAGGACAAGAAGTTGATGAAACATTCCATTATACCATGGATGAGGAGGAGGTAACTCTAGATATTTATCATTCGTACAGAGGATACACTCATATGTGACAACACATAGTCCTCATTGTGAACCAAAGATCTCTCCTGAGATCATTCTGTCACCATATCACAATTAAGAACACTTTAGTTCAAAATGGTCCAGATAAAATGATACAGATTAAAATTTTATCTTTAATTTTCCTACAGGGTAGTATGAATGAGCTATACTGCCGCGTCTGTGACCAGTATTTCAGTTCGTTTCACAACAAGAAGGAGCACATGTTTGGTAGGCAGCACCTACAGAACATCACGGGAGAAATACAGAAAGACATGCAACTGCAGGCGGAGCAGGAGTCAAGAGATCTTGCCGAGTCATCGTTAGTTTCTAGTCACCTAGGCAACGAGAACAGCCAATCAGGCGATGGCATCAGTGATTCACACCCCGACCTCATGGAGAGGACTTCACCTGTAGACGTCCAAGGATTCATTAATGGATTTCTACAGGAAAACTTAGGTGATTTTTTTGTAGAATGTTCAGATTATAAAGGTTCAATTGATATGCATATGTATAAGTTGATATTAGACATTAAGTTTAAAGTGACGCCTGCTGTGATTCTGGAAATGTCACAATTCAGATGGATAATTGTACTTTTTAAGGTGGAAGAAACATATTTAATTTTTAAAATTCCTAGTTGACATTTAATTTCCTGTGTCTCAACAAGCATGGGTTATAGGACTACATAGGTACTGCAGATAACAAAAATAATTACAAAGTTTTAATTTAATATTTTGCAGATAGAGAATTTGAAATAAAACAGATACGACGGCATCTGAAGCTGACTCAAGAAGAAAACAACTTCCTAATAAAACAGATTAATGAATTAAAGGTATGAAATACTGTTAATCTACTTTTTTCTTTGGGGACATAATTCCAGGGAATCTCTATTTTTGTTGAATCTCCGGGTAGAAAATAACGCAGATTTTCTTTGGCTTTCCCAATGTGCCTTATATGTATGTTAAGCATGATGGGACAGATTTCTGTCGATTATTGCATACATAGTGTAAATTAATACCACATGGAAGCAAGTACTTCTAAAGTATTTCCATACTGGTCTTTGATTTTGCTTAGCCAGTACATAAATAATTGGAAGACTCCTTTTTACCTGGGTTTCAAAAGAAGAAATGTGATATTATTAACTTCTGCTTCAAATTCTATATAAATATGAACGTGAATGCGCATTTAAATCTTGCTATCTCGAATTTGATAGGACAGAGGAAAAAAACTTTGATACATCCATGGATTTGAGATATCCAGGGTAAAATACTGCACCTGCACATAATTTGGCATATTCAAACTTTAGCGCAGTCACTGGATTTGAAGTTGTTGGCATAATCATGAATTAGAGCTACACATGTCCGTTCAGTGTATTGTATATGTAAATGATTTCTTTGCAGTATTCATGAATTAGCGCATTGTTGTCTGCGCCAAAGCTGCTAAAATATGAAGCCCGCTTTCTTAAAGTACACGTACAGTACTTTTAAAAGAATAAGTGGTTGAGACTTCCAAATAACTTTGACATAATCATGGTATTTTATATATCAGTGTTCAACATAAGAGAGTTCAATTGTATATGCTTCTTATTAACATCAGTCAAAGCAAGTTAATTGTTTAATTTGAATCCTTTTAAAATAATTTCTTATATCTATTTATTAAAACGTTAATATTTAGTCATTAAGAATACTGATTCTACATATATGTTGAATAACTATATTCTTGTGACTTTTTTTTGTTACAGCATTACCAAACCAAATTAGAAGAAGAGCTCACACATTATAAAGCTATCAATGCTTCTTTAAACAGTCAGATAGACAATTTAAAAATGGTGAACACACTGTTTGGTGTAATTAACTTTGAAGTATGACCTTTAGCTTGTTCTTTCATGGCTGTGATATGTTGTTTTCTGTAACCTAATAAAAGATAAAGTATTTGTAACCAAAGTTTTGCTCTTTACTCTAACTCTTTAATTCGCCATATTTGATGTAGACCTGAAAATAAGAATTTTTTTCTCATGTTTTACTCCTATTGTTTAACTTCCTTTTTTCACACCACATACTTTCTTGATCAACATGATGCAAAACCGATCACACACGTGTTACTCAAGTATAGAATCTGTATAACTGACATGTTTTTAAAACTAATTACCTCTTGTTGTCACATAATTTAATAGGTATTAAAATATTTTTTTTTTAATATGATCCCTAAGTAATAATGTTTAGTATATATTTACATTCTTACAATGTGTGTCAACATTTTAAAAAAAAATTATATGAACCCGCCCCCTTGCAATGCACCCCTTTTTTGTGCCCTCTGGGATTATGATATTTCTTGGCTGAATAAAGTTGTGTCCCTTTGAGAAAAAAGATCCATCTTAGCTAGCCAAGGGTTTCCAATCCGATATCTACTTTTTTCGATCAGAAACATTTGGCTAGTGAAGATGAAACAAATGGACCTGAAATTGTCTAGAAATAGAAAAAAAAATACTTAGAACATAAAAAAAATCATGCACCTTAACCATCTGAAATAATTTTTTGGGTATGAAATTGTCATATTGATTCAATAATGCATCTCTGGTGAGTCTGGTCATACAGTTTTGTATATCGTTCAGCGACACAGACACATTGGGAGCGCTCGCTCCGTGATCGGGAGGTCGTGAGTTCGTATCTCGGCCGCGACTGACCTAGTCGTTAAAATGGGTAGCAACTGTTCCTTCGCCATGCGCTCGGCACTTTGAAGTGAAAGTTGCGGGTACTTCGGATGAGACCTTAAAAACCGAGGCCCCGTGTCAGCGGCAGGCGTTGGCACGATAAAGATCCCTCACTGCTCAATGGCCCTGAGTGCCGAGTAAAGGTCAAAATTTGAAGCCCTTCACCGGCATACGGTGACGTCTCCATAAATTATGAGTGAAAAATTCTCGAGAGGGACGTTAAACAATATACAATCAATCAATCAGACACATTGGGGATGGACCCCATTTTCAGTCTTGTTTCTTCTATTTAATCTGGGGTCGGTTCACACATTTTCGCCCTTATTTTTGAATTCTAATATGCATTTACTGTAGATTCCTTATTTTTTGCGAGTACTTATTATCGTGAAAGACCTCTTCAACGTTATATCGCGAGAATAATAATTCGCGAAAAGGACGGTTCATCGGGAGATTTGACGTTGTTTTTATTATCACCATTAAAATAAAAGCGAATAATTTTATTTCGCGAGTGGCGCTTCTCGTGAAATCACGCGATTATTAATTCCAAGCGAATATTAATGAATTTATTGAATATCGATAATGTCAACCCTTTGTCTCTATAAGCTGTTTTTAGATATAGAATAAAATTTGAAATTTGAAATTACTAGGCAAATATTCTCTATTTTTATGTACCAGTGAAAAAATAGATATATAAAAAAAATTAAACGGTCCAAATTAACAATGTAACTGGAAAAACATCCTGTTTATTTTGACATCTTATTATCCGATAGAAGTAAAGTTGAATATCATAAATTGATCAAGTTTGATAAAGAAATCAAAACGGTTTCTATGTTACCAAGACGGAAAAATTCAAAAGCAGTCATCGGCATTTAACGTAGCACATCTAACTATCCCTGAAAAAGTTGACAAGCAAAAAAAAAAAAAAAAACAAACAAACAAACAAAAAAAACGGAAAATTAAAAGTTGCCCCCCCCCTCCCCACGTTCAAAAACGATGCTACGTGCCTGGAAGCTGAAGTATGAAATATAAAGGTTTTGAATGTATAATCATGCTAAAATATCCAACGAAAGGTTACAAATTCCGAAAAGTCGGCAAACACGGACCTCTTAAAACATCACAGGTTGGATCAAGTACCATGGAGGAGTAAGCATCCCCAAAGATAGGTCACGTGTGCTGTGTTTTCCTCGTATGAAAGGTTGACAAAAATATGAGTAGACAATTCAATGTAAAATTATGGCTTAACACCTTGATATGCACAATACTGACTCATAGGTAAGTATATATATATGAAGAGTTTTAAACATACATATTAAAAAAATGACGAACACAAATGCATTGAAACATTTTGCTATATAATTTAATGGTAAGAATTGCACGAAAGCAAACTATGCCGACTCCACATATCAGAAAGTACACAAGATTTCATGAATGAACTTATTGTTGCTTTTATGGCTTCTGTTAAATTGCACACAAACTATTCCACATATCAGAAAGTACACAAGATTTCATGAATGAACTTATTGTTGCTTTTATGGCTTCTGTTACGATTTCAACTGAATGAAGTTCATCACAATTCATGTATACCTTGTATTACACAGTGTACTGAAACACTTTAACAAATCCTTCCCAGTATCCGACCCACAGTGTAGACTTGTATAGGGATAATCTGACTGGACGGTTCACTTCATTGTCTGTCAGTAAGAATTTCAGGAAACCCCCATCCGGATTCAGCAGATGGATCTGGTTGTTGTTAAGGTCTGTAACTAGGATGTTACAGAGGGAGTCGCACACAACACCAGTTGGTTTAAAATCTTTTGTCATGTTCTGTCCACGGTAGACAGACTTCATATGACCAGAGGGAGACATAATCACTAGTTCACCTATAGTGTCACCTGTATAGCTCACAACACAAATATCACTGTTACTGTTCTGTGTGACTCTGACTGGGTATGTAAACAGTCTTGTTTGACCGTCCTCCTGGTACTCATAATCATGGATGAAGTCACCTGTCATTGTGACTTGTCTCACCAGACGTCTGCTGTGTGGCGCTAATTTAAAGCGATCTGATTTCTTGTCTTTCAAGGTGACCAGTAGTCCACCGTCCACTGACTGACAGATTCCAATAGGTTCCAGTGGATCTAAACTGACAACTATTGAGACAGATCCTGATGGTGACACAGAGCTGATGGAATTGTTGCTGAAGTCAGTAAAATAAATATCACCAGTATCAGTCACACACATGTCATTAGAAGCCACTTTATATTTATGTTTTTTCTTACCCCCTTTGGTTACTTGTTCAGTGTAAGATGACTTTCCTTCTCGTATGTAACACTGATCCTCACACGATGCCGAGATAACAACTATTACTTGATCCCCATGTATAAATGAGCTTTTTTCAGTCAAATTGATATCAAATAAATCCAGAGTTTTTCCTACCATATTCTCCATCATCTCATCACTGATTTCTCCTTTAACGTATCTCAATGGAGAATTGAAATTGTTAAAATTAGCATCCTGATCAGACAGCATTTGTGTCAGTTCCATGTAGTTGTCAATGACGCCGTAATCTGACATTGTGCTGTTGTTATCTTCCATAAACTTTACCATCTCTTTTATTGCTTTCTTCTTTTTGTCTAACTTGCATTTCATTTCATTCAAGTTATTATTTTTTCCCTCCAAATTATCTCTTAATCTCTGTTCAGTATTTTTCCTGATTTCTGTCAATTTGTCCATTATCTCTTCAACATGCTTCTGGAGCTTTTTAATTTCAGAGTCACACAGTTCTTTATTTTCTGTTATCTGTTGTGGAATTTTCACCATCTTTTCATCAATCCCAGGCAGAACCTCTTCCTTGATCTTCTTCAGATTTGTAAGCAGACCTCTCCTCCTTTGTGTAGCTGCTGTGCGTAAAGTGTTCCATTCATGATCTCTATGATCTGTCTTTGCACACCTGGCACACATGAATTCATCACAGTCCTCACAAATAACATCAATGGGTAATTTATGGGTTTCACACATTTTAATATGCTCTTGAGGAGAGCCCAGTGGATATTTTGTTTTACTGGCCGCCATGTTTGTTGAATGTCTCCTAACTACGACCTATATAGATTTGAGGCAGCGGTAAAGTAGCTACACACCTTGAAGTGTTTGGGACTTTAAACGGATCATAATACATGATCATGCACCGGGATCAAACATGTGTACATATACAAATCATAATACAAAGAGGGAGCTTTAAACTTAACGTGTATTCATGTGTCACCAAATTTAGTTTTTAAAATATATCTAGTATTTTATGCATTATTTCTGAGTGAGGTTTGCATTTTTGTAAACCAAATGATTTTTGGACACCTTTTTGAATTCTCACAATCATCTGACTTAATATGACCCTGCTGCTCTTCATCAGCTGATTTTTTTCTCCTACTAAGTATATTTGTATGTATCCTATAGCTAAGAAACAAGAGACCCACAAGAGAGCCACAACGCTCAAAACTGCCCTTCTCTTCTGCATTAGCAGATTTCCCCCTGTAATATCTTCCCCAAAAATGTCTAGATTTGAGCAGCCTTGAATCAGATTACATGTATAATCATAGGCCTAATAGTATGCAAGAGATAATGTGAATAGAATTTGACCATGTAAAGTAAAAATTCTTAAAAGAGTCAAGGTGACCTAGTATAGGGCTGCAACAAACCTTCACTCCAAACATGCAACAACTAACCAAGATTTATGATCCAAGTTACTGAAAAGCATGATTCATTAAGAATATAAATTTGTATAACCATAAAAGTTCCTAAATGAGACTATAGGGACCTATTTCTTCAATGTTCCTCCTGTATGCATTTATACTGACAAACATGAAAAATACAAGTCAAAATTAAGGTATAATTAAGTATACAAATGTCACAATAATTTTTCCCTAGTCAGTACACATATCCTTATATCGAAGCAAGTTTGCAAGTTTGGTTTAGATACAAGTAATAGTTACTTGGAATGTTACTGTCCCAAAATCTTGAATCTGAAAAATGAAGATCAAATTCAGCATCTGATGCAAATATAGCAGTGTACATCCCTAAATGCACAATTCTTATATTGAGTTAGGTGCATGAAGGACTCAAAGTTATATTGGCATGGATCTATTTCATGTACATTAATTTGTCATTCATCCGGAAAATGTACATGAAATTATATATCAAGTCTAGTTGAATATATTGTCTATCACGAGATGAATCATTGATGCACATTTAGTCAGAGGAGGGCTAAAAGTCACTTACCTTCAAATGTAGATCAGATCCAGCATTCAAGCAGATCAAACAGTAGTGTACATACATATCTGCATCATCCAATCAAGTTTGGTATAAGACATAGTTACATGCACTTCAAATGGACCTCCCCTAACAAAAAATTAACTTAAATTTTCAATCATAAAGAACATGTCGGACAAACCCAAAATATGAATCAAGTCTGGAGATGTCCATTCATATACTCATCATCACTGCAAGTTTGACCCAGGTAAGGTATACAGCTTTTTGGGGTATAAACTTGTTGTAAAATAGTTGATGTGACATGTTCATAATTCCGAAAATGTAAGTCAAGGTCATCATCTGAAGCAAGTCTGGTATTGTCCATTACTCGATACACCATTCATGAAGTTTACTCCATGTAGGTTTACGGATTACCTGGGTAAAGAATTGCTTCTTAAAAATTAATTAGGACGTGAGTGCGGGGCTTTTACTTCATAAAATCTACTTGAATTTTTCAAGGTAAACCTTCAAAAATGTGTGCACAATTTGTTCAATAAATATAGTTTCAACATATAGGTTATTGTTCAGATTAATTGTTTTTCCATTCATCTGGATGTAAAATATTACCATAACGAACAGTAGGCGATCTAAAAATAACCCATAAACATTACAAATATGTGAGAAGGGCATAAAACACAGACCTCTGGAAACTCCAGAGGTGGGATCAGGTGCCCTGGAGGAGTAAGCATCCCCTGTTGATCAGACCTCACAAAATCAATAAATCACCTTGAAGTTCATATTCTTCATCAACACTTTAAAATCCACAAAAATACTTGAAATGTTTACAGAAAGAATCATTGAAACACTGAAATATGTAATACATATCGCTTTATCAAATTGCAATACAAACTTACCACGAATGCTATTCTCTTCCGTATAATCCTGAAATTGGCACAGTATAACCTTAATAATGTGACATAGTTAAAATCTTATTCTTTCTTTTCAAAGGAGTTGATAAATGGAAGCCATTTCTAAAGTAGGAAAAATGGTAATTATTTCATTGAAAAAAAAAATTACAATCCCAAAAAGAAAAAGAAACAAGTTCTCTCTTGAGAGAAGAATGAGGGAGACATAATTCCATTAAATTTTCTACAGAAAAAGATAGGCTAGGAATTATGGACTTCAGCGTAATATGTTATATACTGTCTTTCTTAAGAACCCACGATGGGGAAATGAACACGTTTTGTGATGTCAGTTTATCAATCAGGCACAGGGAGTAGAATGATACATATAACCCTATCACATTCTTATTTTAATATAATATACAGATAAATTACCCTCCTTTACAGATTTTTATGCCTCCGAAACGAAAGATCCCGGGATCACAGTTGTGAAAACCAAGCCATTAATATGTGTTTAATGCAGTTGAATTTAGAACCGGTTTCATGATTAAAATTCCACGACCCGGCTCAGTTTTCAACAGACTAAGGGTCTAAATTCAACATCTTAGGTCTCAGTATTCAGCGTTGAAAAATGACCCCGGGTCAATTTTCAACCAGGGTCAAAATTTAACGTTACACCGGTCTACAGGCGCTGACCCGTAGCAGAAAGCATCAACTCTCTACTACATGACTGAAGAGCAGATGATAATAAATCTGTGCCAAGCTGTCAACCCTTTGGAGACTTTTTTTTTTAAAAATGTCTAAAAAAAATTCGTGCTCATGTACTATTTTGTTGTGATAATGTGCTGCATGATATCTTGCTTCTCTCTTTACACGCATTCTCAATTTATAGTCACAAATCGATCTTGGGAAAAGTCAAAAAAAAATAGTGAACTGAAATTAACACTTTTATACGTCATTTGAAACATGAACGTGTATAGTTATTAAAAATCGCAATTTGATTTACATACTTCATGCTGTGTTTTGTTGGCCTCCTTCGAAATAAAAGCGGTTGGAGGGCTAATTTTACACCAAGATATTTACGTGATGTTGAAAAGCCATATTTGGAAACGAAAGAATTTTTGAAAAAATACAAAATTAATATAATACACATCAAATTCTGTTAACTATAAACATTTATGAAACCGTTTAAGCACATTTATCAAGGGGGTAAAGGATCTTTGATTCAATTATTAGTAAAAATAAAAACGGACATAATTTACATTTAAATGAAATTATTTTCTTTTTATTTTAACATGTTTTATCACATCCGATGATAAACTTAATAATGACAATATTCCCTAAAATGCTACATTAATTGATTCTTTAATAATCTGCTCAGAGAAACGCACATTATTTAGAATATAAGAAGGTTAAATATTTCGTCATTACCTGATTACCCTAAGTGTTTGTTAAACATCACGTAAATATCGCACATAGACATCACACAAAAATAAAAGTATATTCGGTGAAAAAATGATTATATTATTTCAAATTATTGAATTTTATGAATTTTTTTATCTGTGCTCTTTACAAAGGGTTGAATTGAAAATTCAAGTTATGATTTATCTATAGAGGACTCACGTAATTCATACCCCCTTCCAACATTTAATCTTTTGATTATTTCAAATGCAGCCACGTAGCATCGTATTTGAAAATGGGGGGGGGGGGGGGGGGGGGGCAGCAAGAGAATTTTTTTACTTACCTGAAAAGTTGACAAGGCAAAATAAAAAAAAAGGGGGGGGGGGAGAAAACTTGCTCAAAGTCGAAAATCCTAGAGGGGGGGGGGAGGCGAATTTTTTTCAATGCAGTACCAATTATTATACTACATTTTCCTTACATCACTATTAGTGGGGGTAGGGGGCCGGGGCAACCAGCCTTTCACTGAACATTTACTATAGTTGAAGTAAGGTTGGAGAAAAAAGGGGGCAGGGTGGGCCTGCCCCCTGCCCCCTGCCTCCCCCCTTTGCTACATGCCTGAAATGCTTAATTGTTTGTGAAAAACTTTATCGTCAAATCTCAAAAATAAAACAAAGATCCCCCACACCACCCTTAAAAAGTTTGTCAATTATTACACTTGCATATCACATGTGCTCTTTAGAGCAATATACTTTCTACGTTCTTATAGCGTAAATTGAATTTTCAGTACCATTATAGCATAGACGCATACCTTCTAAGTTATATGTCTAAGCAACAATTCAAATTGGGAAAATTAGGTGCACAATTTTATACATGTTAATATATGTATTTCTTGCAAAGCAACAAAAATGGAAATGGATTCTAATTTCAACCAGTTTTTGACACCCAACACCCACAGCCGTCTTTCTTTTTTTACCCGATGTAGACCCCCCCCCCCCCCCCCCCCTGCACACAACGCAGCGCCTATTTTCTGGAATTATATTTCCTACAAAAATGTTATTTTTCCCTCAAAATGTTTAGCTTGGTATACAATCCAGGTGTATATAATCATTTTTTTAAGTTGACGATACACTATCAGTTCAATCAAGCAGCAAAATACAGACTTGAAGAAAGTTTTGTTTCAGATTTACGTTCCGAGTGATAACGTGCATTACACTTGAAACTATGCAATATTAACCAATTGCTCAAAATGGAAAGATTCAGTCATTAAACCACAATTCTAGTTGTGAATAATATTATGTCAATTCAATTTTCAAATCACACGGATGCACTTGTAAGATATTGAGTAAAAATGTTCACCTTTGCATGTGCACTTCCATTTGCATTTCTGCACTCTTGTTACAGAAAAAAATGACATTTTAAGAAACAGTGTATATTTCTTCATGTTCGTAGTATTTACATCATAAAGATTCACTCGCAAATCTATTCAAACAGCTTTAGAAATTAATACTTTTTTACTTTTTAAAAAAC